GGTTTGACTATTTGGGACTTGTCCTTTCTATTTTGTAGTCTTGGGACTCATTTCAACCTTTAGATTATCAGATCTTGGAGTAACTCCATTTACTGAAGTTTGCCACTGACTTCATTTGGGACAGAATTTCACTTATAAACTGTATTTACTCAGATCTAAGACAAAGTTCCCCCCATTGAACACAGGGAAAAAAGCCCCTTGGATTTAAGCGCAGGTGGCTGCTACAGCTCAGGCTCTGGATCCAGCTCTGGCTCTTGCCCTGACCCAGGATCAGAGCCACAATTGTTGCCTGCCTGCACCCCACTGCTTCTGCCCTCTCACTTGTCTCTGCCTACCCCACTTGCTGTCCTGCCTCTCCCCCACCCTGTTGTTTTTGCTTGCTCCAGCTCTGGCAGGGCACCAGCTCCATTCCAACCTGGGACATGGAGCATGCATTTGCTCTGACTGCAGCCCAGCTTGACAAGAGCTGTTGCTGCAATGGCACCTCTGGCTGAGGCCCAGAGCTGAAACCCAGGCCAGAGTTGCTGCCACCACTGCTGCTGCTATGGACCTGGGCTGGGGCCACAGCAAAACATGTGCTCCATGCCCCAGGCTGGAGCAGGGCTGGATTCCTCTCAGAGTCAGAGCAAGGATAAGTGGTGGGGCCAGAGGTGGTATGGGGGGCAGGCAGTAGTTGTGGTTCCAACTCTGAATTTGGGGTGCAAAGACTTGGGGGGTGGGTGGGTGTGGGGAGGAGAGGCAGGGAGGCCCATGGGGAAGACAGGTGCCAGGGGGTGCAGACATAGGGGAGCAGACAGCAGGAGGAGCAAGTGGTGGGGGGACAGGCAGCATGGGTCTAGCTGCTTGACTCCATCACCTGCCCCCTGCTGCCTGCCCCCCTTAATGCCCCCCCTACCACCTGACCCCCACTGCTTACCCTCCTACCACTGCAGCAATGGGGGGAATTTAAGATGATCCTCCAGTAACTAGATTCTATTAATGGACAATTAAAACAAATGTAATACTTTTCCTTGTATAGAATGTAATTACTGGGGGGAATCATCTTAAATTCACAGTTGTGTTAGATTTGGGTAAACATGATATTGATTTTCCATTAGCATATACACTTTTCTGTGATATACACAATAAAATAAGTCAGAGTTTCCCTTGTGGCTAAATCAAAGATTTCAATTTCCATTTTTACCATTCCTATGTAAAGGGCATTATAATACAGTTTAGGCCTCAATGTCACGTAAAATGCCTTTCAATTACTCCAACAAGGTAGGAAATCTTTCCAAGCCTAAATATTTTTTTTAATTCTAAAGTTAACTGCTTTGGTCACTTGGAAAATAAAAAACAAAATAGTAGTGACAGTAGTACCATAGCAGTGGTGCTCTACTGCCTTGTATAGTCATTTACACTTGTGCAAAGTGGTTAAACAGCCCTATCAAGTCTGAATTCTCTACCCACTGGTAGCATTTTACAATATCTTTATGCATAGATGTTTAAAAAACTACACATATTGAAAGGCAGTGGAGAATAACACCCACCATCTTTGGCAGATCTAAGTAGAGAAACTCAAATTTTCCTGTTGGATGTGCTTCAGTAGCTAACAAAGTTTAATATCAGCAGGGTGTTGACAAATATACTGTACACAGCAGAAAGTAAACAAAAAACCATGTTAACTGCAGCTCCAGCAGAAATTAGCATTTGTAGGAAGCTTAATATTGGTGATATGGAAGATAAAATTGGTAAGTGGGCTTTGATGCTGTTTTCTTGTTACACTGATGGGACAGCAGTGTAACATCATTGGCTTCTGCAGTCTCTCTTGATTTACTCCACTATAAATGACATTGTAGTTACAGTGAACTAGGTCCCCAGAAGGATCATAGGAAAGTAGGGCTGGAAGGGACCACATGAGGTCATCTAGTCCAGTATTTTTCAGTGTTTTCAACTGCCAGTGTCTCTGAGGTATTACAAAGTAGAGCATAAAGGAAAAGTAAACAACTGGTATTCTTTTCACCTTGATTCGAAAGCTAATAGCACCACCAACCTTCTCCAGGAACTGAGATGTAGAGTGTGCTGATGCTCTGACTTGACACACTGCAAATATTGCAAGACCTCAGGTGCAATAATGTGCTCCACTTGAGTAGCAGAATAGCTACTTAATGTTCCTGCATAGTCACACTTTTTTGAGTCACCTAATATTATAATATGGCCTCAAATAATAGTGTAAGTTAAACTGGATGTGAAAGCACTCAGATTTCTACATTCTGCAGAAATATAATTTAAAAGCCATGCTAAACCCTTTTTGGCAGTGCTTTAAATGCTGAAGCACTATGGTCAAGGTGTTTTATTTGTAAAGAGGTATGCAAATAACGTTGTCATTGAGTTGACATTTGGTTATGTTTTAAACCAAAGTATTAAATACAATGCTGGAGCTGAGATAACTGGAAGCTAATTTAAAAAAAAAAAAAAAAAGAACAGACAGGGAAAGACACCAGACACAGCACTGCAGACACATTGTACAGAGGTAATGCATAGATGGCATGCACTTACAGAAATGTCTTCCTGTGTCAGCCACCCATTTATTAGAGATATTAAGACAAACTGAACAGAAAAACACCCTACAAATAGATGGATCTCTGACACCACACACACATCTTTTCCAAGCATGAGTACTTTAAAACCACGTAGAATTTTTTTGTACATTTCTTCCATCTGCCTCTGTTTAGATACTGAAACTAATGGATTTGCAGATTAGTGACACCTTAGGGTTTACCTGTGCTGGAGTTGCCAGCTCATCTGGCAACACACGTTTTACTACAAGCATTAAAACAAGCAACTCAGTAATACCACATTCTAAAAAATTTGAAAATATGTTAAAGTTAATGATCAAGTAATTATTGGAATGACTATTTTAACCATTCATTAGTTAGCTCTGTAACATCACATAGCTGCAAACTATAAATTGCTAAATCCTTACTTCTTGAACACATGTATTGTTATAAACTTCCTCGCTGTCAAGAAAAGTGATATATTTTAATTGTCTAATTTTTTCTGTGTCTTTAATAGGAATGGGGCAGTAAAAGGGACTTGAATCTTCTCAAACTGAACTGACTTAATTTCACATCACCTGGGCTAGCAACACATTCATGTGTGTTTTCCTTTTGTTATCCCAGCTTTGCATTATTTTATTGCATAGATTTGCAATAAGGCCTATCAGGCAGTACATTTGGTCTTTGCACTGCTTCGTCCTTTCATCCCTATGTTACCTTAACTTTGCATGTAGTCAAAAACTAGGCTTGGACTGAGATACTGCTCTTGTTAGTTTTTGGCTCTGTTGTGCAAATAGGAAAACAAAGCCTTAGTTACTTAGGTATGCTCTTAACTAGTTATTTATATACGTTGACATTACCCTTTCCTTTTTTAAATATATAAAACCATTCCTTTTTAAAATGATATATGTATATATAGCAATCTTCCATTACTTCCAAGTGTAAGCTGACAGAAAACAAACATACCTTATAGGATCTGATTCTGCTTGCAGTTATGCTGGTAAATCACCTGTAACTCCTCTGAAGTTAGTGGAGTTACATCAGCGTAAATACTTGATTACAAAGCTCCAGCAATTCCCACTGGAGTCAGAGGCAGCTGAGGGTGGTCAACATCTTGCAGGATTGAGTTCTAAATGAAATCCTGATCACAGTATGTCCTTACAGTATCCGTTCTTTGAATTGGAGAAATAGACAGCAATTACCCATGTCAACTGACTTCATAAATTTGCATTACAGCATGATTATCTTGGTGGGATGGAAAGAACTCCATCCTCCAGCTAAAGGAACTAAGGGAAACTCTCTAATTACTGGAGGATAATAGAGGGCATGGGATTGATCAGGTGTTTTGCTGAGGGAACTAATGGGCTGGGGATAGTGACTGCAGCGGGGAATACACAGCAAGTGGGATGGTTTAAATAGGAAGTGGTCAGAAAACCTATGACTGTGAAAGGGAGTCCAAGAGGCTGGGGATCTTAATGAGTGCACATGGAATAACTTGCTTGTAAGAGACAGCCACACACGGTTACTCACTTAAATGTGCACATAAACCTAAGTGGCTGTCTCTTAAGGTGGGCTGCAACCACAGAGAGGAGTTCATGGATGGTTGGAGGGGATACTCTGAGGTGGGGAGGGTACAGAGGCTATGTTTCTACCAGAGGAAAAAACATGTAGATTCTCTCTCCATTTCTCAATACCCTCCAGGATTATGCTACCTCTAAAGCAATGAAAAGGGAAATTAGTAATCAGTTACCTCCCACAAAGACTTAAGCTACAGAAAAGGCTGGTGAGACCTGTAAACTTATCATGCTCTTCTTACAATATTAATTCACAAAGAGATTGAATTCACTTACTGGCATAACAGATATTACAAAACAGAACATAACATACACATTGTCTGGGATGTTGCCTTATATGCCAATGGCCTGCTGGGCCTCATCCTGCAGCCTTGACAGATATGACTAATCTAGCTGAAGACAAGTAACTATATAGATGAATAAGGGCAGCAGTGTCAGCTGCTGATTTAGGTAATCTTGCTTTCTTCTCTTAGCCTAACCTTTAAAAAATTAACATGTAAATTTTATTTCCATTGCTTAGTAGAATGAACAAGTAGAACAAATTAAAAAAACAAATATTGAAGCGTTTTTTAAAAATGGAGTGTGGCCACTGCTTCCATTTAACATGATGGACTACAGTAATAAATAAGAATACAAAGAGAGCATAAATTAACTATGCTACCAACATGGCAATATGTCTTATTTCTTATTTGTTATTAAGATGACATGCAGTCCAAAAACTCATGGCATACGCATTGGCAAAAACCATAAACCATGAGAATAACAAGGCTCGAAGGAACAAGGCTGACAAAAACGACTCCAAGGGTGACTTTCTTAGATACCAGTAAGTAGATCCCTAAAGGCAAGGAACTAAAGTACAGCAAACCTAGCAACCAAACTAGCACTCGAATGGAGGTCTGGAAGAGTAAGGATGTACAGTTCCACACTGTCCAATCATGCGACACAGTTGCAACAGAGTCAAAGCTTGTGGGCCTGTAGAATTCCACCACAGGGGTCGAGTTCAGAGTCTGAGGGCTTTCTCTCTGCACTTCCATGATGGTTATAACCAGGCAGTTGGAGGAAGTGTGAGACGGGCTAACAAGAGATGCCAGCCTTTTGGGAGTCAGCAACAGTTCTGTTGGATTGTCTGGGAGGCACTTCTTCCCCTTTCCCCCACAAGCCAAATTCACGAGGATGTTGTTGTCATCGGGAAGACTACTGACCTCATCATCTGGCAGACAAGTTTCAAACCTACAGAAGGGGCACACTATGACTCCTTGAGGAGAGTCCCCAAAGTCTATGATCTTGCAAAGGCATTTGGCACATACCCTGTGACAACATTCTAGCACTTTTGGTTTTCTCTGTTTCACGTTATAGCGGTTGTAACAGATCTTGCACTCAAGCTCATCTGAGCTCTGGGACTCCACAGTATCTTCGGGTGGTTGACTGGTCATTTCTTTTAGTGGTTTGTAGAGTTGAGATGATGGGAGTCGAGAGGAAGTATTTTACTCAAGATAATTTTAGGGCTTCTTTCTGGTTATCACATCACCCATATCAGTCAGAAAAACACGGGAGGACAGTATCAAAAGTACCAGTGAGCTTCATTCATTTTTGGCTTCTGTTAATGATTTTGTACTGTTCCTTCATTGTGTGCCATATAAAAAAGACGGCGTGGAGTTTCTGTAGAGGAAAAAGAGAGTCTAGCATTGTTAGCATGGCACTGAAGACAAATCTTTCACAGCTTTATCTTTCCAATAACATTTCTTAAAATTCTCTAAAGCCATTACTAAAATAGTTTTTTCTCTGTCACCTGAAATATACACGGCAGTCACACTGAAAAAAACATGATACCACATTTCACATGTAGGTATGTTTAGTCTCCTGAATAACACATTGGCTCTTGAAGTCTTCACTGCATCTTGGTTCTGATAGATTTGTTTTCTGATTGGAACCTGTTTTATCTCTTGCTTTGTATGTAGTAAGTAGGAGCACCTGTTTCCATCATATCTCCTAGCCAAGCACAAAAGGAAAAGAGAGTGTGGGTTTATCTAGCAGCCACCTGGGCCCTAGCAAAATGTACTAACAGTATGGTAGAACCCAACCAGTGAATATCCCCTTTGTTCTGTCCCCTGTAATTGGTCCTTGTGACTTTCTTTGCTGTGATGACAAAGAGGGAGCCACTGGCAGGGATCCAGAGAGTGGGTCATGGAGGATTTTGCATTGCTGTGTTGTTGTTTTGCATGATGCTTTTACCACCAGACCCTGCACCCTGGGTTGTGCTGGCAAGAGTAAATGTGTTCTAGGCACTACATACACTATATTTAGAACCAAAACATAGTAATCTGCCAGATGGAATGAATTTACCCCCAATATAGGCACTTGGCTGGTCAAAAATGTGACTTTGGCAATATGCCTTAAAGGCCATCAAATCCATGCTCTGACAAAAAGAGTGAGCTTCAGAGCTAGGAACCCACTCTGGTGCCAGGACTATTGTCTAGTTAGACTATACTTAGTATGTAACAGGAGGACAGTAGGGAGTAAGAAAAAGGTGGTTTTATATTCCTATTGTGGCTCCCCAGTTTGGGGCTGGACAGAGACCACTTTGTCCTCTTAGTGTAACTTAGAGTATTTTAGAGTTTTGCTCAAAATTGGGTCTAGCCACTTGGGATTCCAAAGGGTGATTCAAGCATCTGGAGATTGCCAGGGTGCGATGCAACCTACTCATATTCCCTTTACTCCCATTTTCTTCATTTCTTCTTAAAATCTGTTTCATTTTTCTTGCATGTGAACTAATGCTGACTACTCTTCACAACACCATAACTACTGGCTGTTCCTGGTAAGTGTTATGTGCATCTCCAACATAGGCTAAGTTTATTTATTTATCTTTAAACTTTCTGTTTCTTGATCATTAGTTTTGCCAAGTTCCTCATTTCCTTCACTGCTTATTTTGCTTCCCTTGGGAAATTTACATTCACTATGTTTGCATCGTTGTCCTCAGAGAACAATGAGGTAGCAAATTCTCTCCTTTTAGCAATCTACCTCTTCTGTCAATAAATGATGCCCACTATCTCTCAGTGCCCTAATGTCACTTTCTTGGGCCTCTTGTCTCTAATGTACTTGAAATACTGTATTTTCTTGCATATAACATGACCCTAAATAAAATATGCACCTTGTTTTTAAAAGTCATGATGAAGGTAAAAAAAGAAAAAAACCCCACACACATCTTTTCTTGAGAGCCTGTACCAGAGAGGAAACAAAATCCACAGCCAGCAACACACCAGATTTCCAGCAGCTGAATTTTGGGAAAAGGGACATGTTGTATGAGAGAAAATACAAGCTATGA